GTAACATTAATACTACATGCAAGTAAAATTTTGTTGAAGATAATACAAAAACAGTTGCAACAGGGAACTGCCATAAATTCAAGCTGGATTCGAAAGAGGACGTGGAACTAGGGATATCAGATGGTGTCAGATGGATCTTGGCTGGAAGTAAAGAATACCAGAAAGATGTTGACTTCTGCTTTATTGATTATGCAAAGACCTTTGACTGCGTCGATCATGGCAAACTATGGATGGCATTGTGAAGAATGGGTATTCCAGAACCCTTAGAAAAAGAACACACTTGTAAAACACAGCTTATTAGGTGTTGCACAGTAGACAAGTAACCAGTTGCCTTTGAGTTGGTACTTACTCATGACAAGTCCATGTGTGTCAGAGTAGAACTTTGCTCCGTAAGGTTTTCAATGGATGATTTTTTAGAATTAGATAGCCAAGACCTCTCTTCTGAAGCAACTCTGGGTGAACTTGAACCTCCAACATTTTGGTTAGCAGCCAAGCACATTAGCCCCGTCCCTGAGTTGCACAGTCAGTGTTGTCTCACGCTCCTCCTCCCCTTGACCTCTGTATTCCAGCCTCAATAGAGACGTTGCTCTTCATTGTGCCTTTGCAGGTGCTTTTCTCTCTGTCTGGAGAGGTCCTCCAGCTCTACTTCCTAGTATCTCATATCCATAGCATTTGTCATAGTTTGAAATTTCTTCTAAACGTATGGCATTCTTTGATTAGCATCTATCTCAATCATGAAGGCAAGGACCACCATTTCTGTTTCATCTACCATTGAATCTTCAAAACCTAGCATAGTCCTGGCTCATAGTTGTTGTTGTTAGGTGCTGTCAAGTCAGTTTTGACTCCTAGCGGCCCTGTGCACAATAGAATAAAACACTGCTTGGTCCTGTGCCAGCCTCACAATTGTTACATTTGAGCCCATTGCTGCCACCACTGTGTCAATCCATCGCGTTTGGAGTCTTCCTCTTTTTTGCTGACCCTCCACTTTACCAAGCATGATGTCCTTCTCCAAGGACTGGTTCCTCCTGATAACTTGTCCAAAGTATGAGAGACAAAGTCTCATCGTCCTGCCATCTAAGGAGCATTCTGGCTGTACTTCTTCCAACACAGATTTGTTTGTTCTTCTGGATGTACATGGTACTGTAATTCAAATGCATCAATTCTTCTAGAGTCTTCCTTTTTTGTTGTCTCTAACTTTCACATGCACATGAGGCTATTGAAAAGACCTTGGCTTGGCTCAGGCTCACTTTAGTCATCAAACTGCTGGTATCTTTGCTTTAGAACATTTTAAAAAGGTCTTGTGCAGCCTAATGCTGCAATCTGTCCTTTGATTTCTTGATGGTTGCTTCCAAGAGTGTTGACTGTAGACCCAAGCAAAATGAAGTCTTTGACAACTTCTGTCTTTTTCTTCATTTTCCATGATGTTATTTATTGGTAGTTAATAGGGTTTTTTGTTTGTTTGTTTTTTCCATTGAGGTGCAATCCATACTGAAGGCTGTGGTCTTTGATCTTCATCAGTAAGTATTTTAAGTCCTCTTAGCTTTCAGCAAGTAAGGTTGTATCATCTGCATATTGCAGCTTGTTAATGAGTCTTCCTCCAATTCTGATGCTACATTTTTGTTTATATAATCCAGCTTCTTGATTTATTTGCTCAATATACAGATTGAATAAATATGGTGAAAGGATACCACCCTAGTACACACATTCCCTGATTTTAAACCATTCAGTCCCCCCTTGTACTGTTGTAATGGCTGCCTCTTGTTCTGTGTACAGGTTCCTCATGAGTTTCCATTCTTCAAAATATTATTCACTGTTGGTTAAGATCCACACAGTCGAATGTCTTTGCTTAGTCAATAAAACACCAGTGAACATCTTTCTGATATCCTCTGCTTTCAGCCAAGATCCATCTGATGTCAGCAGTGACATAACTTGTTCCACATCCACTCTCAACTCAGCTTGAATTTCTAGCAGTTCCCTGTTAAAGCACTGCTGCAACCATTGTTTAGTTCTCCTCAGCAAAATTATACTTGCATTTGATGCTAATTATTTTTGTCTGATAATTTATGTAATTCTATTGATTCACCTTTCTTTGGAATGGGTACAGCTGGCCAGGTAGTGGTCTTCTACATATCTGGGCATAGACAAGTGAGTGCCTCCTGTACTGAATCAGTTTGTTCAAACATTTCAATTGGTATTCCATCAATTCCTGGAACCTTGTTTTTCACAAATGTCTTCAGTGTAGTTTGGACTTCTTCCTTATGTACCAGAAGTTTTGATCATATGGTATCTCCTGTGAAATGGTCAAACATCAACCAATTCTTTTGAGTACAGAACTTTGTGTATTCCTTCCATCTTCTTTTGATGCTTCCTGCAGTGTTCAATATTTTGTCAATAGAATCCTTCAATATTGCAAGTTGAAGCTTGAATTTTTTCTTCAGTTCTTTCAGCTTGAGGAATGCTGAATGTGTTCTAACCTTTTGGTATTCTCATTCCAGATCTTTGCACATTTTACTTTAAACTTTGTCTTCTCAAGCTTCCTTTTGACATACTCTGTCCAACTCTTTTGCATCATCATTTCTTCCATTTGTTTAGGTACTCTACATTCAAGAGCAAGTTTCAGTTTAATGGCATCTTAACATATTGAAAGTTCCATGTGCTGCCAAAAGAACAAACAGATCTGTATTAGAAGAAGTGCAGCCAGAGTGCTCCTTGGAGGCCAGGATGGCCAAACTTAGTCTCTCATACTTTAGACATAGTGTCAGGAGGGACCAGTCACTGGAGAAGGATATCATATTTGGTAAGGTGGAGGGTCAGAGAAAAAGAAGACCTCCAGTGAGATGGACTGGCAAAATGGCAGCATCAATGGGCTCAAACGTGGCAACAATTGTGAGGTTGGCCCAGGATTGGGCAGTGTTTCATTCTGTTGTACATAGGGTCACTATGAGTCGGTACCAACTCAATGGCACCTAACAACAACAACAACAAATTCAATAGGATGCCATTAAAGTATTTTTTTTTAAGGAAGGTTTTTGATAAATGTTGAATTTGAAGAGTTGATTCTAACTCAGGGCTGCCTCATCTCTTGTGCAGGTTGGAAACTGCATACCCTCTGTAACATGTGCATTGGCACTGTTACATATACAATATATGTGGAGAATATATTGGAGGCCAACCTGAGTAGGAGCTGGATCACGTTGGCTTGGGTAGAGATGAAAGTGATTTGAGAGAGAATTGGAGGGACGCAAGAGGCATTTAAAGGTATGGAAGGTAGCAGCCATCTCTCTTCAAGAGACCTGAGCTCTGAGATTTGGGATTCTCAAAGACCGTTCCAACTGGAGTAAGGGAAAACACTGAAAATGCAATGTCAGTTGGGAACAGAATGTGTCAGCCTGTCTGCCCTTGTTGTGAAGTGTTGAGTCAGTTGCAACTCATAGCAACCCTGTATAGGGTTTCTGAGGAGTGACTGGTGGGTTTAAACTGCCAACCTTGCTGTTAGCAAATCAGTGCGTATCCTACAGCACCACACCAGGACTCCTGCCTGCCCTTAATCATTTAAAATCTGCAGGTGAGCCTGAGAGAAGCCTGAATGCCATCCAGAGACACAGACCTTGCAGAGAGAAAGGCAGCCGACCTCTTGGACTTCTTGGAAGTATGATGTTACCTGAGGCTTTTTTTTAGAGGCTCTTTTGATTGCCAACTTCAGAAATTAAATCCACCTAGCTTAAGCTAAAGTGCCAAAATGTATTGGAAGGATTCTGGCACGTCTTTTGGCCTTACTGGACATATTGCCCACTCAAGACTCAGAATTGGTGGGAATGAAGCAGTTCTAAGGACAGATGTTCACAGTCTTCTCCAAGGGCACTGCAGTTACTGTGACTCATTGTCAGAAACTACAGGCTCCAGGCCCTCTAGGAAGCATTATAAATGTACAGGAGAGAGGATCAGATTGCCCCAGTCTGCTGTGTGTGTTCCACCCCTGGAACAGTTATCTATGCCCAGGTCAAAGACATAAAGGACCAATATGACCTTTGGAGCCCATGCCTGTATCCTGGGCCATTCTCAGAGGAGGGAAGCCTCTGTGAGTTAGCTGTGTAGTTGCTCTCAGGATGGCTCTACAGACACTGCATAAGAGCTGACTGATCTCCAGCAGCCTACTGTGTAAAGGGGAATAGACCCTAGTATGGTCCTACAAGGAATCCTGATGTGGTGCTGTAGGATAAGCACTGGACTGCAAGGTCAGTTTGAACGGAAAGGTCAGCAATTCAAATTTCCCAGCCACTCCTATACAGGGTCGCTATGAGTTAGAACTGACTCATTGGCACTTAAAACAACAACAAATAGTCCTACAAGGTGCCCTGATGGACCAGAAAGAGAGTTTTTTTAATTTTAGAGGAATGAAAACATTTAGAATATGCTATATATATGTATGTATATATTGCATTATATATGTATGTGTGTACACCACGGGAGTCCTGGTGTGGCACTGTGGGTTAATGCACCAGACTGCAAAGCCAATTGAACTGCAAGGTCAGCAGTTCAAGCTCACCAGCTGCTCCTTGGAAACCCTATACAGGGTTGCAATGGATCGGAACCGACTCAGTGGCACTTCACAACAACAACAACAACATGCACCGTGAGTGGGAATCAACTGGACAGCACTTAACAACAACAAATTCTAGCAGTTTCTGGAAAATAATTTTGCATGTCACTTTCCATTGCTTTAAGGCCTTTTCTGAAGCCCCAGAGGCTGTGTGTAACTCAGACCCCTCTCCACACTCACCACCCATAGTAACCAGGAAGGAGAACAGCACAAAGTGAGGGCGTGAGCCTGACTCCTAGACTGTAATTTCAAACCTAGTGTCACCCTAATTAGCTGTGTGACCTTGAACAAGTTACTTCATCTCTGAGTCTGTTTAATGATCCCTAATGCAGGCAGTCATGATGAGGGTTCACTTTGGTGGCATTTATAACATTCTTCCCATAGTGAACCCAGGGCAAAGATGATGATGGTTGTGATGATAACTGCTACCGATGATTCCACATGGAAGACGCTCGCAAAGTTCTGTTCCTGCCTCGACAGCTTGACCCCTCTGTAGGTCGATCTTTTCTTCAGGTCCCCGTCACAGGGTGGTGGTATTCAAAAAGACACAGAGTGCAGGAAAAGAAGGCATTTTATCTTTGTTCAGGATTTTGCCTTGTTCTGGCTCATTGGCATCACCCCCCATTTTTCATCCTGCTGCAGGAGTGAGAGAGAGAACCACGCTGCTGATGACTCCGAGGGAGGGGCCCTGGACATGTGCTGCAGTGAGAGGCTGCCGGGTGAGTCTTCCCAGCGCCCAGCTGGCTAGCCCCCAGAGCTCAGTGTGGAGGGAGGAAGCCCACTCTGACACTGGGGATGGAGTGAAACTGATTAGGGCTGAACTCATTTGAAAGGAGTGACTCAGCTGGTCTGTAGGTCTTCGTTTAAACAGGGATTTGTTTATCTAATCCCTGATGTCTTCCTGACCTGTTAGCATTTGGAGTTTCTTTGGACTCACAGAGAACGAAGAGCAGCTGAGTTGGCAGGGTGGAGAGAGAGGGTAAGAGCTGGGAGTCCAAGGCTGATAAGGATGTGACCACTGATTGGTGATGTGCTGGGTGGACGGACCCAAGAGATTCAAGAGGTAAGATTAGAAAATACAAGCAGACAACCTGAATGTGGCACGAACCAAGGGTGGGGTGGGTGATGTGGCTTAACCTGGCTGTGAGGGTGAAATCGTGTTGCCCACATCGGGTTGGCAACACCTATGGGGAACCTGACCATCTGACCATGGGCAGTCAGTCACCTCGGAGACATTGCCAGGAGGTGGCAGTGTCTCACCAAATACCTAGGTGATGATAAACAACCTTGGGAGGAAGGAAGGAAGGAAGTTTAGGGCATTTTTTTTTGTTGTTGTTGTTTATTTTTGGTTTCTATATTTTATTGGAAAGGAGCTCTGGTAGCGTAATGGTTACGAATCAGTCTGCTAACCTCAGTGTCAGCAGTTCGAAACTACCAGCTGTTCCTCGGGAGAAAGATAAGGCTTTCTGTTCCCATAAAGGTTTACAGCCTCAGAAACCCTGTACAGGGTCACTATGAGTCAGAACCGACTCCACGGCACAAAACAACAACAACAAATATTTTATTGGAGTCCTGATTTGGGGCTGTGGGTTAACGCACTGGACTACAAAGTTGGTTTGAAACGCAAGGTCGGCGGTTCAGGCTCACCAGCTGCTCCTTGGAAACCCTATACGGGGTTGCTATAGGTCAAAACTGACTCAGCGGCACTTAACAACAACATGTTTTACTGGTTTATTACTATTAAAATATCTATTGTAGAAATATTAGAAAATAAAGACAATTTAAAAGTTTCCATAATCCCACAAAAATAGCATGCATTTTTATACTTACCTTTCCAAACCTTTGTGTTTTGGGGAAAAAAAAAAAAAAAACAGCCTTTTGAATTCTAACTTGGAAGTCCCAAACCTATAGCTTGGCAGAAGCCACACCACTGGCAAGAACTTTCACTTGCCACCCTTTAAGGTGGACATTGAAAGTAACTAGGTATGATTCTAAAGTGATTGCTCTTTAAATTAAACTGTTATCACCATGTGTCAATGGCACAACTACTATACTAACTCCTCCAGCAACCAAATGAGGAGTGAGGCCTTTGCTGTAGTTCACCTGTTCTCCAGTAGGGGTGCCATTGCTCAAAACACGTAGAGGACACCCCTTTGGACCATCTGCAGAGATAGTCTCACTAGAGAAGTCAATGTGGGAGCCAGATGTAATTAACTTGGAGAAAAAAATTCTCAGAATGGATGTGAGAGCTATTTGCAGATATTTGAAAGAGTGTCTTGGGGTGAGGGTGGGTGGGGGGACAAATTCATTTTCTGTATCTTAGGAGGATGACATAAGTCCAATACGTGGACATTAAAGAGAGGCCTGTTAGCCCAAAGCATGCAGAACTTTGTTTCTGGCTCTAAGTGATTCAGTCATAGAACTCATCATCCAAGAAGGAAAAAACAAAACAAATGTTCCGTCACTAGAGGAATTGAAGTAATGGCTAGCAGACATTGAAGAGGAAATTTCCACAACAGGGGGGTGGTCCAGATGACATCAAAAGTCCCTTTCAACTATTAAACAGTTCTGTGATTCACATATGAGTCATAGAATTTGGAGATGATTCTACAATCAGGGATGGCCCCGCTGGCTAAGAAAAAAAAAAAAACACACACACAGAAAATAGGCCATGATGTATATGTATAGGAGTCTAGAGCATTGCTTAGTGTAGAGAAAAGAACATGGGGTTCGGCTATCCTGCTTACCATTTGTGTTTGTAGGAAAATTACCTACCTTTGTTGAGCCTCCAGTACTTCATCTACTAAAATGGAAACAGCAGTGAATATTTATCCTTACAAGATGACTTTGTTGTTGTTGTTAAGTGCTGTGGAGTCAGTTCTGATTCATAGCAACACAATGTAGGGTTTCCAAGGAGCAACTGATGGGTTTGAACCATCAACCTTGCAGTTAGCAGTCCAGTGCTTATCCTACAGTGCCACAAGAAGACTAAGTGAGTCAACAAATGCACCCACTCAATCACTCAATCAATAAAATGTTTATTGAGCATCTACTATATGGCAGGCACTATAGTGGTTACGAATCAGGCTGCTAACCTCAAAGTCAGCAGTTCAAAACTACCAGCAGTTCCACAGGAGATAGATGAGGCTTTCTGTTTCCATTAAGATTCACAGCCTCGGAAACCCTATACAGGGTCGCTATGAGTCGGAACCGACTCTATGGCACATAACCACCATCACCATACTGGGCACTGGGCAAACAGTGGTGAATAAAGCAGACATAGTCTGTTTCACATACAAATCCTGCTTTGATTGGGGCTTAGAAAATGAGATGAAGTTACAGCAGAGAAACTGCCGTAATAGGCAGCATATGTTTCATTCTAATTCTAATCCTCTCTCCTGTTGTAGAGTGGGAGATGAGTGATGGTCATCATGGTCAGAGCTGGTCCATTTACTTCCTTGGGCCAGCCACTATCCCAGAAGCTCCTATACATCTCATCTCTCATAGAACCCCCTCCCCTACTCTATGAAGGTAGTACTGCTGGGTGCTGTAGGATAAGCATTTGACTACTAACCACAAGGTCAGCTCCTCAGAAACTCTATACAGGGCCACTATGAGTTGGAATTGACTCCATGGCACTTAATAATAACAACAACCATCTGAAGTTGGTATCATTTGCTGTTCCCATCTTATAGATGAGACGACCAAAATTACAGTCTCTTCAATGTTACTTAGCTAATGTCTGGTAGAAGGAGGATTCACTCAAAGGCCATCTCTCCCAGAGCTTGTGCTCCTAGCTGTCACCCTGTTCTGCTTCCATTGTCACCATCAGAGTTGCCATCGTTTTCTGATGATACCTTGTTGACTATGACAGGAAGAACTAGGTTGTATGTGTCTCCAGGGAAGAGTTTAGAGAAGGTTGGCCATGTCTGTGTGCCTGCCAGGAGCTGTCCCCAGACTTCCATGATACTATCCTTAGAGAGCACTGTAGTGCTTTTGTTTCCCCCATGAGACTATGAAGTCAAGTACCAGCTCGGTTGTATTCCGTGTCCTCCGTGTCCAGCATTCATTCACTCATTTCCTTATTCATTCACTATGAACTGAGCACCGACATGAGCCAGCACTGTTGTAGGCACAGAGACTCAGCACTGAACCAACTGAGAAGATTCCCTGTCCTCAAAGGGCAGTACAGTGAACTGTTAAAGAGCAGGAACTCAGGAGCCAGAGTTGGCCTCACGTCTTACCAACAGATGACCATGAGCAAATTAACATTACCTCTCTGCACCTTGGTTTCTGAATTTACAAAACGAGAGAAATAATTTGTTGGAGGATTAAATGAATTAACATAGAACTTAGAACAGTACTTGGTATATAGCAACTGTTATATAGGTTTTTGGTATGAATGGAGAGACAGTAAATGAAGCAAAATATATAACATAGCAGATGGTAGTGAATGCCATGAGAAAAAAAAATGGAAACCAAGAAACGGCATAAGTGGGGTTTGGGAAGTGGTTTGCTATTATAATAGAGTGATTCTAGAGTCCAGTGTGGAGTAGACATCCACAAATGCCTAAACTGTAGCTTGGATACAGAGATAAAGTTGTACAGATAGGTCAAGAGAATTGGCTCTTGGTCTTAAAAAAAATAGCCCACGGGCACTGTAAACAATTGCATAGTGATGGTATAAAAATACAGCTGTCACTCAGATAGATATGTGTACACTAGCATTCACTGCAGTATTATTCAGAATAGCCAAAAGAAAGAAACAAGCCCAGTGTCCATCAACAAATAAATGGATAAACTAAATGTGGTACCTGTATATCCAACCAAAAGGCCACTGCTGCCAAGTCAGTTCTGACTCAAAGCTGCCCTGTCAGATTGAGTACAACTATCCCATAGGGTTTCCAATGCTGTAAATCCTTACAGAAACTGATTGCCACATCTTTCTTGAACGGAGTGGGTGATGGGTTCAAACCACCAACCTTTTTGTTAGCAACTGAGCTTTAGCCACTGTATTACCAAGGCTCCTCATACATACATACAGTGTAATATTCAGCCATGAAATCTGATTCATGCTATGACATGGATGAACATTGAAAACCTGATAGAGTCACAAATAATGGACAAATATTTTATGATCCTACCCTGGTAGCTTAGTGGTTACATATCGGGCTGTGAACTACAAGGTCAGCAGTTCGAAACTACCAGCTGTTCCGCGGGAGAAAGACGAGGCTTTCTGCTCCCGTAAAGATTTACAGCCTCAGAAACCCTGTACAGGGTCACTATGAGTCGAAATCGACTCCACGGCACATAACAACAACAACTTATATGAAATGTCTAGAGTAAGGTTAACACATAAAGGCTAAAGTTTATTAGTGGTTACCAGGAACAAAGGGGAGGAGAGAATGGGAGTTATTACTGGAGAAGTACTGTGTCTATTTGGGGGATATAAAACTTTGGAAATGGATAATGGTGGTCGTACAACGTGGTGCATGTGATTAATGTCACTGAATTGTATACTCAAATATGATTAAACTGGCATTGTTTAGTTATATTTGTTTTTGTTGTGATTGTTAGCTGCTGTCGAATGATTCTGACTTATGTCATGCGCAGAATAGAACTGTTCCGTAGAGTTTCAAGAGCACACTTGATTGCTCGCTCTGCCCCCCACTTGATTTCTGCCACAGCCACACCCCTTCTCATGCACACACAGAGCTCA